CGCAGAGACAGGAGACAGGCTTCTGGAAAAATGCTGCTTTGATGTTTGTGCTATGTCAGAAAGAGAGGAGAGAGGAGACGAGGGGGATGAGAGGGTGAGGGAGGGTGACGGAGGTCCCAAATCAGAACCCCGGACATCTTCAATCTCCAGCGTGTTTCATTCTCACCTCTTTGTCTCCAAACTTGAAGCCGCTGCCGTTATTCTGAGTCTTCATTGCTTTTTTTGTCTCCTCTCATCTTTTTTCTCTTCGTCTCAGCTCTGTTGCAGTTTATTTTTTCCTTTGCAATGTCTCGAACTGATCTGCTGACAAAGGAGTTCTTAAAGTGTCCAAATCTGGATCTGGAGCAGCTTTTATTGAGCCACGCGTTAACCGTTTCCTGTTGCAGGTGGCAGACCCTTCCTGCAGCTGTTTTACCTCCATGTTTCATGTTTTGGCAGATTTTTCTGTAGTTTAGAGTTATTTTTTAATCCCATTTCTGTGTTAAACAAATCAATAGTTCAGACACAGTTTATGCATGGACAGTTTATGCAGCAATAAAGTAACCAAAGGATGGTTTTGGCTGGAAACTTTAATTATGTTCCTGTGGAAGTGCTAAAAAAGTGTTCGCCAGCGCGACGGCTCTCGCTTCCACTAGTCGACATATTTTAGTTTAAAAGTGAATTTTGGAGCACAGGCTGTTCCACAGTGGACAGGTTGGTGCAAAAACAAATACTGGTTTTGATATTCTGAGCAGTCACAAAGACGGGGGTTTCTCCAAAACCAAAACGTTGGTGCAGCCGTGCATTTCAGGAGACGTTGAACAGGGACTGAATCACTTGGAGAAAAAAAAAAAGCGGCAGTGGAAGTTTAAGGTTCACCTGCTGCTGCACGGCGGAGTTAATGAAGTAGCTGGAAGTAACTTTTTCATTTGACCTCCAGGCTGCATAGATAATATACAGTGTATGTCTCCGTGTAAGATCTGTGTTTTTTCAGCTATTTTAACCATAAATTCACTCAAACCGAATCCATCCACTGGGTATTGCACCCTCCACCCTCCTATCCTCACTTCCTCTTCCCCAGGTGTTGAGGAAGTGATTGACGGGCCTCTCTGCGTGCGTGTGTGTGTGTGTGTTTACATGCACCTATTTATATCTGCATTTTCAATCTTGAGCCTTTAAACACCTGAATGGAAGTGCTGGAGAATTAGCACCGCCAGCTGTCAGTCTCGATGAACCGACTCATACGACGGTAGTGGGTTGAAACCTGCATTAATTAGCATTTTGTTATAATTTCAGATAAGATTGGTTGAAACTGTTACTTACAGGAAAGTTCAGTCACGCTCTCTCTGCTACAGTTTATCTGCAGAAGCATAAATCCTCTGTCCTTGCTCTCTCTTGAGGGGAGGGGAGGAGAGAAAGAGGGAGATGTATGGCAGTTGGGGGGTGGGGGGGTGGGGGGGGGGGGGCAGTTGCTGAACAGTGTAACAGATCAAACCTTCCTCTTCCTCCCCCTCCTTCTCCTTCTCCTCTTCATCCCAAGTCTCTGATTAACTCAGCTTGTGTTCAAGCCTTGCTGGACTTTGCTGCAGCCTGATGCGAATGTAGTTGTCAGCAGGAGCCACACACACACACACACACACACATATACACACACACACACACACACACACACACACACACTCTCACTCTTATTCTCTCTTTCACTCACACTTTCTCTCCTTCTGCACTCTCCTGCTCTCCTGTTTGTTTACTTGCCCCCTGATGGGATGTGGTTTGCATTTGCGGTGCGTGTGATTTTTGTGTCCGTCTGTCTTCAGTGAGCGCCTGTGTGTGTGTGTGTGTGTGTGTGTGTGTGTGTGTGTGTGTGTGTGCTTGTGTTTGTGTTAGTTTGTGTGTGTACGCTTTGTTTTGCAAGCAGGTTTTTTAGTGGATGTGTATTTGCCTTTGTGTGTGTCTTTTTTTTTTTGTTTTTTTCCCCTATGACGGCTCTCATTTTTTCGGGTTTGCCGCTTTACGACTTCTCATCATGGAGAAAGTCGCTGAAGCAAACCACAACAGATACAAAGTTCTGAGAGGCGGCGTCTTTAAAGGAGCAAACGTCCCGCTTCCAAGAAAAAGCAAAAAAAAAAAAAAAGCGGGAGAGAAATGCTTTTAATTGAGAGTGGTGTGTGAGGTAAACGAGGGGAAAAAGGGATTATTTCATCATGAGGAGGTTTTATGAGGGAATTCCTCTGGAAATGTCGACCATTCGAGGCGGTGAGAAGCTTTTTTCTGTTTACAGAAAGTTCCTCTGCGAAGTCAGAGCTCTGTCTCAGTAGTTTGAGTGACTGGACGCACAGTGAAGAAGCAACACAAGACAAAATACATCAGCACTTTAAATCTGAACTTTATATCTGAGCTACTGTTTGATCCGTTTTAAGGTGGTAGACCCCCCCCACCCCCCCCCCCCACCCCACCCCCCACCCCCACCCCATCATTGTCGAAGTTCATTCGTGCTGCTCAGGCCTGTATTGTTTTTAATGTGGAGATAACAAGAAAAGTTTCAGGCAGCAGTGCAGCAGTGTCTTTATATGTGCTGGTTGGTATAGATTTTCTCTTTTTTTTTTTTTTTTTTTTTTTTTGGGTTCCTGAATCTCAATTCGAGCATAGCAGGAAGAAAAATGTTTCCCCATGCCTGTCTGTAGAAATCTGTATCAAACGCACCCTCCACACAGTGGGAGCCACCGGAGATCTTTTTTAGTTCCTGTTTCTCAGGTGCTGGAAGGAAAGCTTCAAAAAGTTGCATGAGTTGAGAGAAGATGCGATATGGGTAAAGTTAGAAAACTGTTTTCTAGGATGGAGGACGGACCTTTTCCTTTTGTAGCTTCTTCGATCGTCCTATTTATACTTTTTTTTTTTTTTTTTTTTTTTAAATTGAGTCTTTGACTAAACGTGTGCTGTCATGTGGCCAAGAGCTCGGAGGCCAAATGTGATTCACGTCTTTCGTCTTCGGAGCCCACTGAAACCGCAGCAGCTGCCGAGGTCGGTCTGTCGCCTGACGGACAAAGCGTCAGTTGGCTTATGGGCTCTAATGAAAGACAAAGCGCCTGTTAAGAGGTTTAGGTGACAATACAGAAGATTAGGCGACATGTTGCTCTTCCGGTTTGAGACACATAGATGGGAAAGTGAATCCACCTGTTGCAGCAAATGTCTTCATCAGAACACGATGTATAATAAATGACTGAAAGCTTCTTTTAAGATTGTTCTTTGTGGTCAAATCATTTCTCGTCTATTTATTAAGATCTATTCAGTTCTTTAAAGAGCTCTGTAATTAAATGTGTGGCGTTTTCGTTTTTACATCTTCTTACAAGTAAAAAAAAAAAAAAAGGAGACTTGGATTAAATGTCCAGCAGTCAGCTGACAGTTTGTGTATTGTCTTTCATTTGGATGCTGTACAGTGTTTGCACAGTGGAGGCCGTCATATTAACATCTATCTATCACAATGTTTGTCGAGATCATTTACAAATCCCACAGAGAAAGATCATAAACAGTGCGGATCTCTGCGCGGTCCCGACGGCCAGAGCTTGATGAAATATTTGTGTTTGTGTTGCGGAGATGTGCGGGGAGCCCGAAGCGTGTGGACGGCGCTCCCTGGCAGCACATTCACCACTCCACTGTAGAGAGGAGAGAGAGAGAGAGAGAGAGAGAGAGAGAGGCAGAGCAGTGTGTCGTCGGTTCAGGCAGCATGGAGGGGGACGTCAGTGAAAGGTCAGCGGCGGCTGTGGAGCTGCAGTACAGGAGCCTGCAGGGGCCAAGCCACAAACTCCTTTTCACTATTCAGTCTATATGTTGTGTGACCTTCTCTTTGTTTGTTATGTTTCTTGATGACGTCTGTAAAGTGCTTTATGTCAGTCATGTTTGTTAAGTAAGTGCAATTTTGAGAGTTTTTTTTAAGTTTTTTAAGTTTAAGCACCAAAGTCATCTTTGTTCTGAGTTTAACTTCCTGTATTAATGAGCCTATCCTGTTCTGGCACCCACTTGAGTTGCACTGCTCAATAAATACAATGTTATGTTGGATAGAAAATGTTGAGTGACAAGGATTTCTGTCAGAAAACAATATTGTTTGCAAACAGCTTGACTTGTCCTTCATGGCAGTGAGAAAATATAAACATCAGGAAGTGCTGTTAAGTCATGTGACTTGACTCTTTGCCGCTGCACGTCATGACTCCTTTAGTGCAGAAACTGAAACGTTACTGATCAGTTACCTTTCATCCAGTTTTGCCATTTCTCTACAGAGTAGATAGATACATTTTAAAGGAGCTATTTGTAAGTTTTGCTATTGCTACATAGCCAACGTTAGCATTAACAGCTGTTTACATACCGGTCTAGAAGAAACTTTGCGAATTAAACATCAAACTTCATTCTTTCACTCACTAAGAGCTGTCTGTAGCAGTGGAAAGAACCACCAGTGCTAACTCTCATCTCTATCATGTCTTTTCTTCTACTGAAGTTAGCATGCTAACCAGCTAGCCCCGGCCCATCTCATCACTTTCCAATCTGCCCTGAAGACGTGGCGCTGCTCAGAGGACGTGTTATAACCTCTTGTATTATAAATGCAACAGTGGTTGAAGCTCTTGTCAAGCGACAATCACCACAAACTTCTTCCGGCAAGAAACCATGTTCAGCGGCAGAGAAAACTTACAAATAGCCCCTTTAATTCTAATAAAAGTTCCTCAACTTAAACTTGACTTTTGTAACTTGATAATATGAGTATGACATCATCTAAATCAGCTTTTGACCAGAGAGCTCATGTTCAGATCATATGATTATCTACAACTTTTATTCACTTAAAACTTTATGACACTGTGAACACAGACGATTCTGGTGTCTGGTCTAACGAATGGGCCAATGTACCAAAATCAGTGAAAACTCCCAGTTTTTGTCACACACACACACACACACACACACACACACACACACACCTCCTCTGTGTCTGTGTTTCTTAAACACACACTGACAGAGTGTCTGTTCTGTCTCTGCAGATTTACACAGACTGGGCCAATCACTACCTGGCCAAGTCCGGCTGCCCGCGCCTCATCAAGGACCTGAGTCAGGACATCACGGATGGAGTCCTGCTGGCACAGATCATCCAAATCATAGGTCAGTATCCGAACACACACACACACACACACACACACACACACACACACACACACACACTTGTCCCAGCAGGACACACACCGACTTCTGTTAGTATGTTGTGTCACTGACTAACAGAACTAACAGTAGATTGTTTTACTTCAGATATAACTGTAAATATTTAAAAAAGATTATTAATGATGCGCAGATAAATAAATCCATGTGTTATCAGCCGTATTAAAACACTGTGTGTTTGTGTATAATTCATTCTGTCTGGTAGATGAAGCGACCACCCACACACACACACACATACACACACACACACACACATGCGCACTGTGCTGTTTGGTCTTTGTTGTGGTGGGTTGGAGGGAAGCTGTGCCTCACTGTGATATTTGGGCCAAGTCACAGCAGCTCTCCCTTGTTTTGGGTGCTGGGCGAGCTGCTGCAGCAGAGATCTGTGACTGCCACTCCGGGGTGCAGAGGCATGTGTCTCCCGTTGGAGCCTACAGAGTCTTTACTTCTCTGTCTCATTCTGTCTGCCTCTCTTTCTTTCTCTCCCCTTTCATGTCTCCGTGTCACTCGTCTTTATCTCTCTGTCTCTGGTGCTCTCCCTTTCCTTCTCACTCCCCAACAGTTGAACTTTTTCTAGGGCTCTCTCTCTCTTTGTCTCTCTCACCCCTCATGTCTTTTATTTAACACACTACGGATGACTTTTTTCAACAAAGAGTAGTGCAGTAATCACATTACAGTCTCAGTAACACAGGGGGCAGCCTTTTGCTGGATGGGCGTTTGTCCTGTGGACAGACGGGTCAGGGATGGAGGCAGATGGAGAAATATACCTTCCAAATTTGTTTAAGATACCCGCTGCATCCTCCGAGCTGGCTACTATAGTAACCCTAACCAGAAAACCAGCAGCATGTGCACATGAATCTGTTTTTACGGTTCACATGTACAGTCTGTGAGGTCATAAATTTTGGGCTGCATACAGATTGGCCATATGGACCCTTGCAGGCCTGGGCAGATGATGGAAATTTATGCCAAGTGGACTCTGGAAGCCACACACATGTGGAAAGTATAATTTGGGCTTTAGTGGGTTTTTTTTTTTTTTTCAAATGCCTAAAATGACCTATGTTTACATTTAAGGACCTGTTGTTGTCGTTGCTGTATGACAGTTGGCAAAGGCAAAAGTAGCAGGTCACTGTTGCCCTGTAAAGCCTGTTGGGGAGGATGGATTTGTCATTTCCGTTTTCCCAGCTTTAACCAAGAAGGTTTTATAACTAAACCTAATTAAACCTTAACCATAGAGGTGGCATTTTGGAAGATGCTGGCAAATAATATATGTATACTAAATATAGTTCCTCAAGCGCCATATCTGGAAACATTTGTATGTGTTGTGTTGGAAGGCATTGACAGATTATGAAATGTATTTTGCCATGTAGTGAGAAACAGACCTAATGGATTAATTGTTTAGTGCTTTATTCTTCCAACACTCACCTGGTTTTGTTCAGGTTTAAATGGTGTGCGGCCCCCGAGGCGTCACTGTGAGGACTTCAGTGCTATGTGCAGTGACTGGGGCTAAAGTAGCTGTTAATGGTCAATAAATACCTCCAAACCACAGGCAGACAGCATGTTGAAGTATAATGCAATTACATTTTCACACAATACATTAAAGCTCCATATTTTCCTCTTTTCCTGTGTTTTACTTGAAGTGTTGATCCATGAGAAGATATATTTATGGTTTTAAGAACCAAAAACCATCTGAATGTAGTTTTACATCTCCTCTCTAAGACTTCTCTCTGCATCTATAGTAACAACAGGTCAGTGAGCCAATCAGAAGAGAGGAGGCTCTGAGCCTCTCTTCTGAATGGCTGACTGTTTTCTGAGTGATCCAATAAAAATATATATAAGATTTCAGGTAAACACTCAGAGAAACCAAGTCCTGCAAGATAGGATGGTGGGTCCAGGTGGGCGGGGCTTTGGCCATGGCTGAGGGCGGTGACTGCTTCGTTGTGACATCACAGAGTTACAGAAGTCCTGACGACTGGTTTTAAGGCTCAGTTTCTGAATACAGCCTGTTCACATTTCTCTGTGGACGGAGGCTTTGATACTTTCAAAGTATTAATATAGAACCTAGACCTGCTTTATAATCAAACAACACATGGACATCCACCTTTAGACTATATGGGACCTTTAATAATCAAGCAACTGCATTTTTCAAGTAACTTGCCCAAATTGGCTGTTATGCAATTACTCTGTCTTTTGGACACATTTCTCTCACATATTCTTTTTCTTCTTCTCACATCTACTGTCTTTGCTCTCTCTCTCTCTTTCTTTCTTTGCGTCTACATCCCTATTCTGAACTTTTATCTTTCTGGGACTCTCTCTCTCTCTCTGTTTGTCTCACTCATTTTCCCCTCAATTTCATAATCTGTCTTTCTCACTGATGCTGTCTGTCTCTTCATTTTTTTTCCATCTAACTTCTTTTCTCTCTTGTTCTCTCTCCCTCTCTCTCTCTCTCTCTCTCTCTCTCTCTCTCTCACTCTCTCGCTCTCTCTTTCTCTCTGTTGGATTGAAACTTTACCCTCCCTGCTCGCCCAAACAGACAATGAGGCCAAGCAGGCCTGTCAGTAATTCTCTGGCGGCAGCTGACGAATTAGGCAGCTTTGCTTCCCAGACCTCTCCTGCGTCGCTCTGCACCTCAACACACACACACACGCACACAGACACACCAACAGTCACACGCTCATGCGCACACACACACGCACCACTCTCTTTTGCTGGATTTGTGCACCTGAACTCAAACGTCGCTGGACGTCGCGATGATGAAGTTCAGGATGGGACGACAGTAAAAATCACATTTCTTCATTTCCTTTCTCACACAGCGAATGAGAAGGTGGAGGATATCAATGGCAGCCCCAGGAGCCAGTCACAAATGGTGAGTGTTTCAACTTTTATTTTCAACCTCATCCATCCTTTACTGCAACTGTTGCGTGAGAGCAAATTATGTTTATGAGGAATATTTATCTGAAGCACTGGCTTTTAACTGCGCTGCTGCGAAGCTGTGATGAAGGTTTTTTTTTTTATTAAATCTAACAGAGTAAAATAAACTGTAAAAGACTTCAGGCGTTACAGGCAGCTGAAGTTTAGGTGATGCTCTCAACAGCACATCCCTTCAACATTACCACACAAACCTGGGACTGAAAATGTAGGATAACTAACAATTTACTACTGCTCTACATGTCAAAGAGAAATATTGTACTCTTTGGACTTTTGCATTTATTTGACAGCTGTAGTAACTAGTTACTTTTCAGATTAAAGATTTTACACGCTACGCTTATAAAAGAAGAATGCACTGTTAGAGATTTCACCAGTGGTCTCCTTTTGTCACATTTCAGATGTCAGTGAGTTGTTGGCAGTTTCTACCACAGACTCATTTCCCCTCTCAGCTTCTCACATGCTTTCTTTTAAATTAACACTTTGAGGCCCAGAGTGCTCAAATTATCAGACGAATGCATTTGTGTGGCAGAATTAAATTTTTCCTTTCCAACCACATGAATCATCTCATGACCTTTCAGATTTGAGCAAAACTTCTCAATTATGTGTTAAATAGTTAAAATAAGCTTATTATTTCTTCTTATTAAAATGCTACAAGTACTGTTACTTTTGATAATTTAAGTACATTTTGCTGATACTTATGTATTTAAGTAGGATTTTTAAATGGACATACTTGAAATACTTGACATGAGTATTTTTACATTGTTTACATTACAAGTACATTTTACATTGTACTTTTACTAAATAGTTCTTCCACCACCTGCCGTGCACCTTCACATGGGAACAACAACCTTAACGAAAACCTCTGAGTGATTTCATTTTGATTGGTAGCAGTCAGCGTCGTCAGCAGGGTCTGAACCCGAAAGTGTGTTTCCAAGGTCACATCTCTCAAGCCAGTTGAAACTGATGATCTACAAACGCTTTAGTCTTTCAGTGTTAATCTCAGACCCTGACTTCAAGCAGCCAATAGCAGAAGGTCTGATGAAAGCCATTCACAAACCGTTACCGTCTTTACTACTCGAGATAGTGATGACTGGAGTAACCACATTGCCACTTGACCAAAAACGCAGCGGAGCCTTGAAAACTTCAAACTTGATTTACTATGCCTTTTTCAATAATCCGTATTTCTGGCTGCCATGTGGCTGAGTGATGCTGGCGGTGTCGTTTTTCCCTCTGTTAATGAGACGACGGGCTGTATAACTGCTGATTGTCGTCACTGTGAGATAATTACCCCTCACTTTAACTGGAGTTGACTAAGTGTTTATGCAGTGTTGGTTTGCCCTGGCATCTGCCGTCCTGCCATTAAAAGTGACTAAAGCTGTTTAGCTGCTTTGGCGCGTTTTTCTCAGTGAGACGCTGTGGGCGAGGAGTGTGTTTGGTCCCGACAGTGTGTGTTTTTTTGTCTGTCAGTCTTTGTGGCTCGTTGTCATCAGATGCTAGAGCTGTGTTGTTGGTTGGACTTCCAGTCAATGGATTTGATAAAGTCTCTGGGTCCCATCACTGAAGTGAACCAGAATGTATTTCACAACTGGTTTCACACGTTTTTTGTTTTTCCTTCATGGTCCAGCTGTGGAGGAAGCAGACGGCAAACTCTGTTTAAAAAAAAAAAAACAGCATTAAAGAACCAGGAAGGAAGAAAACGTTAAGGTCATGTGAACCCTTGTATCCCATAATGTCTCTGTGTGGGTTCAGTGTGTGAAAAGCAGTTCTGGAAAGATAAACTACTGCACATTTATTTATTTTTACTGTCACATAAAGTGATTCTGGTCCTGGAGTCCAGACTGAGGCACCGGTCACTCTGGGAGAGCTGCTGCAGCACCGCAAGCATGTGGCTCGATATGCCAGCGACCTCTGTGTGTGTTTGTGTGTGTGTGCACGCAGCTAGCTCTTTGTCTCCGTCGCTTACTAAGCCCATTGATCCAGCACCTGCTCTGACCACAGAGGGTCCGGCCAGCTTGGGAAAATGGAAGTTTGAGGAAGCACGGTCGCTTATAGTGTGGGCGCAGAGGGAAGGAAGCATCTGACACACACACACGCACACACACACACACACACACACACACACACACACACACACACACACATATGACATCCACAAAGACGTAGCCAGTGAGCAGGGCCACTGTTCAGAATAGTCAAGGTTTATAGGATAAAGAAACAGTTTGCTGAAGACATGTGGAGTTTGAGGGTATTTGAGAAAAAGTAACCACCAGCTGAAACTAAAACAGTTGCAGAACTCATACCTACTGTAAATAAATCTAGTAAACCATTTAATCCAGTGATATTGCAGTTAGCTACATAGAACAGAGGGCAAAAGGTGCTTTCACACCAAACCTGTTTGGTATGTTTTAGTGTGCTTTGTTTGGGCTGGTGCAAAATCTGTCAGTGAAACTGTACAAGCCACCTGAAAAAGAGGGTTTCAGTCTGGGTCCAGTCTGACTCCAGTACATTTCATTTGTGGTATGAAAGCATCCAGACTAACCTCAGTGTTTCATGGTAGGAGATATATGATTTTTTTTTCATGAAGCCATCTGTGTGAACTGTCAAGGAAGCGATCTAACTATGTGGACATATATAATTATGGAAGTCATTTGGTAACCATGGTAACACCTGTACCCATCTGCACAGGAGTGCAGATTTTCCTTAATCAATCGGAATTTGAAAAGCAGTTAGTGATGGAGTGTAGTGACGACACAGTAACTATCTCTGTCACCTCTGTTTCCGTCATTATCGTTATTATTTATAAACTGATAAAGCTCATAATCGGTTATTTCTCAGTGAATTCTGTGACACCAGAGAAGAAGAATAACCACATCAGGTAACATAAACTGCAGCATGACTTGCTGTCAGCAAGCAGCAACCTCCAGGGCTCCAAAAGTGAGTCAGTTCCCATAGACTCCCCTGTTAAAAAGCCCAACTTTACAGCAGAAACAAACATGTTTTCGTTGTTAAGGTTGTGGCCACTGGGGTGGTCACATGCTTGCCACAAGCCGGCGTGAACTGAAATCTGCACACACGCCCCCCCTCTTTGATAATTTTTGCCCATTAGCAGGGAGTTAGGCAGAGTCAGACACTGCCAAGATGGCGACAGTGGAGCGGCTCACTCTGAGCTTCAAAACCGCTCCTCAGAAACCTGTGGGTGATGCCACAGAGTCTACGTCTTTATTTGCAGTCTATGACTGCCAGTCACCACTGTTGATGCAGAATGACAGTTACCTTTCAGTCCATGTGTCTTTATGCTTGCAGTAGTTTCATTTGTAAAGTCAGTGTGAACAAGAACGCGGTCAGAACTAAAAAAAACGATGATGTACAATTTTTTTTCCGTAGCTGGACCAAATGAACCAAACCCCCCTTAGGGATCAAGGTGATGACACATGAACATATACAGTATGGCTGTGCAGAACTATTTGGTTTGGCTTGTTTGTCCCATGAGCTCGAACCCTGATATTAATCTGAAAGAAAAACCGGAGCTATTTTTTAACTGTTGGCTGCGTATTGACAAGATGAGCTGTGAATGTTGGAAACCTGCCACTGGCCACCTTGCACCTGGAGCTTAAACGCCTTGGCCAGAGACATCACAGTAGCAACAGCTGTCAGTGCAGGGGCAGATGAGTCTGATTTACTTCCTCTGCACAGATTTTTCCCCCATTTGGGATGTGAAATCATGATCCAGGAGTCACAAGCCTGTTTCTCTAACTGGTGGGCCCGCTGCTGGTCCGGTGAGTGGACCGAGGCCAACAGAGCAGCTGCTGGAAGCGCAGGAGCAGAGACCCGCACGGCACCAGCATCTGCGATCCTCTCAGCTAATCGAAATACATAATACGCTCTTTTTCCCCTAAAGCCGCGCTCACAATGCGAGAGATCCACACTCCAGTTGAAAGCGATCATTTCCTGTCGAGCTAATCCAACGGACGGTCAGTAAGTGTAATGGCCAAGATATGCCGCCAACAGCCAATACAAGCACTTTTTCTCAAATAGTTATTGTGATTCATGAAGAAAATGATCCGGTTGCATCCATCAGTGGAGGGAATGGAGAGATTTAAAGTACGTTCTGTTTATTTTTGATGCCTGATCAGATCAAGATACTTAATCTCCAAACTTCCTGTCAACCTTTCGTACTCAGCCAGGTAGCCTCGCCAAGGAAGTGATTACAGTTGGCTCCTGAATAACTATCCCTCATAATTATAAGGCTGAAGGGTATCGCCTCTGACTGCCCCAAGGGCTCATGGGAAAGCGCGCCAAAGTACGGTGGAATTATGAATTAATGACCCCCGTTTCCCAGGTCTCCCTCCTCTACTCTCTCCAATTTGCTCTCATCAAGAACAATATGTAAAAGAGTCTGACCTGTGATCTCCTCACTGTTACAGTGTGTAATAAAAGGCTGCATTTATACTGCGCAGGTATCCTCCATTAATGCTAAAAGGTCACATTATGGCGATCCGATAGCTGAGTGGTTGTGGCGCACACCATGTTGGTGCCAATTCCCTGAACAGCTAGTCCCCGGTTCCATTCCCATCTGGTTTGCCTCTTTGCTGCATGTCGTTCCCCTTCGCTCTCTCCCGATATTTCCTGTTAACCTTCACTGTCCTATCATATTAAAACACCAAAAAATGCTGTCCCATAACTTTTCTTAGACTTAGACTCAAAATAATGCAATAAAACAGCAGTTACACTTACACTTACATCCTTTAAGTAATAGGTTGTTGATCCTCTCTTAGATCCCTTAAATCCCTGGTCTTACTGCTTTTAATACTGCGGACACATTTCTTTTTTTTCTTTTTTTTTCCCCCTTGTACTTACAGTTTGTCTTGAGAATAGAGTGAGAGCACAGCAATCTAAAACAAAATGTCAGAGCTCCTATGCGGCCGTATCTGTTCTGTG